AGCTGCTGCAGCTGCTGCAGCTGCTGCTGCAGCAGCTGCTGCTGCTGCTGCTCATGTTGCTGTGGGCCTCGCTGGGGGCCTCGTACCCGCCCTCTGCTGCTTGTGGGGGCCAAAAGGAGACAGTCTCCTCAGCAGCATCCCCAGGAGAAACAGCACACAAACACCCAGCTGCGCTGCTGCTGCTGCTGCTGCTGCTGCTGCTGCTGCTGCTGCTGCTGCTGTGGGGAGCAGCTAGCTGCGGGCAGGTGCGAGACAGCTCGGTAACACCGTCAGGCTGCAGCAGTACCAAAGGACGCTGCCGCAGCTGCTGCTGCTGCTGCTGCTGCTGCTGATGCAGTTGCTGTTGCTGCTGCAATTGGTGCTGCTGATGCTGCAACTGCTGCTGCTGCTGCCACTGATGCTGCTGCTGCAACTGCTGCTGCAGCTGTTGCTGCTGCCACTGTTGCTGCTGCTGTAATTGCTGCTGCAGCTGCTGCTGCTGCAACTGGTGCTGTTGCAACTGGTGCTGCTGCAGTTGTTGCTGTTGCTGCACCTGTTGCTGCTGCTGCAACTGCGCTTGCTGCTGCTGCTGCTGCTGCTGCTGCTGCTGCTGAGAGGCTCCTGGGGTGTACACCAGCAGCAAAGGCCTCGGGCTTAAGGGGGAGAGCGGCTGCAGCAGCAAGGGGCTGGAGCCCAAGGGCCCGCTAGCTAGCTGCTGGGGGTCAGCGACGCAGCTAGCAGCTAGCTGCGGTGCAGCAGCTAGCCAGGATACATTCTGCTGCAGCAGCTGCTGCTGCTGCTGCAGCTGCTGCTGCAGCTGCTGCTGCAGCTGCTGCTGGAATGAGGGAGAACCAGGCGGCAGCATAAAGGGCCGCCCTAGCGTCTCGTTCAGCTCGCAGTTCTCTGCTGCTGCTGCTGTCTGCTGCTGCTGCTGCTGCTGCTGCTGCTGCTGCTGCTGCTGTGTGTCTGTTTGTGTTGCCGAGTTGTGTGTTGGTTGCTGCTGCTGCTGTTTTATTTTGTCTCCTTTTTGAGTGTCTCCGTTTGCTGTTTTTGTTTTTGTTTTTGTTTTTCTTTTTATTTTTTTTTCTGTTTTTGTCTCTGTTTCTGTCTCTGTTTCTGTCTCCGTTTCTGCTGCTGGAGTTGCTGCTTCCTCTTCCGCTTCGCTGTCCCCTCGTTGCTGCTGCTGCTGCTGCTGCTGNCTGCTGCTGGAGTTGCTGCTTCCTCTTCCGCTTCGCTGTCCCCTCGTTGCTGCTGCTGCTGCTGCTGCTGCTGCTGCTGTTTCTCTTCTTGCTGGTGGTATTCACTGTCTTGCTGCTGGTTTGTCTCCTCTTTGTGTGTGTCTGCATCTTTCTCCTCATGCTGCTGCTGCTGCTGCTGCTGCTCCTGCTGCTGCTGCTGCTGCTGCTGCTGCTGCTGCTGTGCATCGTCCTGCTGCAGCAGCATCTGCTGCAGCTTC